TGGGTCTTTGGATTTTAACCTGAATTTCTTGATTCATGTTTTCTAACCCACAAATGATAAGTACTCTTTTACTCTTGTTACATATGATTAAGGTTGTATTAAAATCCAAAGACTCAATACTAAATGGAAAAGTGATAGATTAGTTGGTTTAAGAACCAGAATAAAACAAACTACAGAAATAAAGTTCTTCATTGCCCAAGATCTCAGGAAAATGGAAACATACATATGCACAAAATAAAGATGGTGCAAAGTAGAGAGGACAGAGGGGAAAAAAAGCTGCTGCATGTTTTTTTCCTCCAAAAAGAACATCATACAAAAATTTCTGGTTTTATTGTTTTAACATAATATGCAGATTAGGTTTGCAGTAAAATTGATTCTGCCTCCAAAGACAGCATTCTATTAAATTATCATTGAACATCTATTGGCAAAACACTATGCCAGAGGTACCTGAAGCTGAAAATGACCTTTATTCCTACCCTAAGGTTGACACTTTCATAGGAGCTATTCCTCCTAAGGACACTGGCTATTCCTCCTAAATGTCCACTGGCTTATTAAAAACCGCCACCATGGGTCTCCCTGGTGGCGCAAGGGGTTGTTAACCACCGCACTGTGAAGCTATCCGCAGCTTCTGCAGCACCAGTTCGATCCCCGGCCAGGGAGCAACACACATGGTGCAGCAAACCTCACCTGTCTCGCCCGCCCGCTGCACCCTTAAACAGCGTATTTCAGTCAGTCTACCTGTTTTGCTCCCCACTCTGTCTCTGGTGAATCCTCTCACCCCCCCATCTCTGGCCTGTACCCCAGCTCTTGTATGCATAAATAAATCTTCAAAAAAAAAATGCCACCGAACTGTACACTTACAATAATTTTGTTACATATGTTTCATCACAATTAAAAAAAGGAATTTCGCAGGACATTCCAAAGTGCTTACTCTTCAGAGGCTACAGAATCCATAATCTTAGAGCAGTGATAAATCTGCACTAAGAAAATGACTAGTGGCAACTGGACCAGGGGCTCCGAGACCAGGACCCAGAAACCAAACAAACTGCGAGGGGTGTTGGAAGTGTTAGGGGGAAAGGATGCTATGAGCTAATCCCATACAGGCTTTGTGGATTCCACCCCCACTCTAGACCAAAGTCATCAAGACATTGGGAAAGACAAATCCCGTTACCACCAAAGGGAAGGTGGCTGGGACCTGAGGGTGGAGTTAAGCAGCCAGGTTGGGTATAAAAAAAAAACAAAGACGTGGGCCTTGGGCTCTCTCGCTCGCCTCCTGGCTTCACCACCTGGCTCGCGGCCAGCTCTCAGAGTGCCATTTGGGATTCCAGATTCGCGGATCGGGTAGGACGCATTTAAAACTTTGTCTCCCATTTTTCTCCCTGAGCTGTACATTTCCTCATTTCCCCTTCCCTTGTAAATAAACCTTTTATTAACCTTTCGTGTGTGCCTGCAGTAGAATATTAATAAGTCCTTTAAAGCGCGCGGGTGAGAACCCCCCAGTCAGGCACCCCGTTTTGTATCCGGGCTGCCGTATAACATAAGGAAAGGCAAGGCTGCAGCTACTGTTGGAAAGGGCGAGGCTCCCGCGTCACACCACAGGGCTCACTCTAGCACCTTCATCTGCACCGGCTGCCGGGGCCCTCGGCGCTCCCAACACCAGACTCCTGCAGCCCGGAGCAACCAGGGCTCTGCCACGGCTCCAACGCCAAGGTGGCTGCCCCTCTCGCCGGGCCGCGTGCGCGCACAGGGGCAGCACTACCGGGACCGCGGCCTGGCTGGCGGCGGCGCGGCGATCCGCTCAGGGCACCCGGCACCGCCACGTTTAAGGAGGGGGCGGGAGATGCGTTTCGCCCCTGAATCCGGCCCGTCCCGCCCTAAGCTCTTGCGGGGCCCGGGCTAAGCCCCAAGGGGGGCTGTGGGCCCCGCGGGCCCGGAATGGGGAGGGCGACACCCCGGGAAGTTCCGCGGGGAGGGGCGCGCTCCGACTTACTCCTCCAAGAAGTCCAGGAACAGTTTCTGGCACTTCTCGGCCACCTCGTCCCGGACTTCCTGGTGCTGGCTGCCGACCCCCGGCTCCGCCGCTGCCGCGAGGTCCATGGCGGTCTAGAGCCCACCGGCAGCAGACGCCGCGCCCGGCCGCCACAACTTGCCGCTCCCGCGTCGCTGCTGCTTTGCGCGCGCCAGCGTCGCCCCGCCCCTTTCTCCACGCGGAGGGTTGAGCCAATCGTGGAGCAGGAGTTCCGGGATTTCGCGCCAAACCTGTCCAATGAGCGCCGCTTCTCCCGACGCCCCGCCCCTGGAGAGAGGATTTCGCGCCAAGCGCGGAGACCTCCGGGAAAAAGTCGCGGACAGCGCGGAAAGGACGGCGTGTGGCTGCCTTTGCGCCTGCGCAGTATGGCGCGTCGTGGGAAAGTTCGGCTTCTGGAACTCTTAAAACGGTGGGATCTTTTACTGTTTAAAAAAAGTATTTTCAGATCATTCCACTGCTGTGACTTGAGCGGGAGTGAGAGTCTATGGAAGGGGAAAGGAGCCCCCTTTCTTGAACCGTTTAATTTGAGAAAATAAGCTGTAAACCGCGGATAAAACTGTGGAAGAAGGCTTCCCTGGTGGCGCAAGGGTTAAGACTCAAGCTATGAAGCTGGCCGCAGCCTCTGCTGCACGAGTTCAATCCCCGGCCGGCCAGGGAGCTACCCACATGGCGCAGCAAACCTCTCCTGTCTCGCCCGCTGCTCCCCTCAGCAGTGTATTCCAGCCAATCTGCCTGTTCTGTTTCCCGCTCTGTCTCGGGTGAATCCTCTCACCCCCCACACCGCTGGCCTGTACCCCAGCTCTTGTGTGCGTAAATAAATTAAAAAAAAATGTTTTTTTTTTTTTAAAAGAAACTGGAAAAGCCAAATGAGAGGTGTAGACAGTGCCGCGGTGGGGTTGCGAGGCGGTTATTCTGACTGGTCCTGTTCAAGGATTGTCAGCGAAAATTTTAATACTGTTGATGGAGTCCTCTTTTGAACGCCCTCTTGGCTTGAGTCATCATTTTCCTTCCTCGACACACTCCCCCCACAACCCCCCCACACACCCCTTCGCTGTCTTCCCCAAATTAATTCACTTGGTCTTTCTTCTAATTCTTTGTCCGTTCCCGTTTGCCCTCTTTGCAGTGAGTCCTTTAAATGTACTCTTTTCCCATAAAGGAGTTCTCTTGGGGGACCCCCGTCACCCCTGGCTTCGATTAATATCAGGGTGCTGATGACTTATAAAGGTGTATCACCAACAGTATTTTACGAGGCGTCGGAGAAGGGTTTAAGAGAATCCTAGATCGCGTCCATCTTTTAAGGCTTCCAGCACATTAAAAAATGAATGACTTTTGGGCCTCCCCGGTGGTGCAGGCGGTTGAGCGCAGTGTTGTGAGGTTGTCCGCAGCCTCTGCAGCGCCGGTTCGATTCCGGCTGGCCAGGGAGCTACCCACATGGCACAGCAGACCTCTCCTGACTCTCCCGCTGCTCCCCTCAGCAGTGTATTTCAGTCTGCCTGTTCTGTTCCCCATTCTGTCTCTGGTGAATCTTCTCACCCTCTGGTACATCTGGCCTGTACCCCAGTTCTTGTATGAATAAATAAAACTTAAAAAAAAAAACTTGAAAAAAAATTACTTTTATGCCAAACAGGGTGATCATAGTTAAACTGATTCTTTTAGCACGCACACATGTGCACACACACTACTCACATTTACAGAGTTTATAAAAAATATTTATTGCAGAGTGTTTCTGAGATTGCATATACTACCTCATTTGAAGACGATGGGAACTCTGTATTCATCAGCCTCACCAGCTGCAGAACCTGCTGCTCACCGGGCATAACAATCTTTCCTTTCCTGTTTTTCCTTCTATACTCCCCTTTGAGTTCTCCTAACCAAAGATCCATGCACAGAGTGCAGAGTTCCAGGCTAATTTTCAGCTTTGCCCACTAAGAACTGTCTTCCCCTCTCTCCCCCCCAAATACACACTAAAGAGGTCCTCTTTTCCTCCTTCAGACTATACCTCTGGACCAGAATAGTAGATGAAGTCTCTAAATGAGACTTGTGGGGATACCATGGGTATATCTTCCATAGCAGGAGCAGGGTGTGCTTTATGAAATAGCTCTATGCTATATCCCTGTGAGACAGTGTGTGTCTGGATACCTGAGGCTGAGACTGCAGGTTTCGTGGGTTAATCATCCACCTTTTATTAGTCCCGGGAGTCTCATCCTGTGCATAGCAGACTGGTGGGTGGGTAGGCACTTATAAGCAGTTTTGATGGCACCAAGAGAAAATTTTTCTGATCTACACGCAAGTCTACCAAGTTACTCTGAAGCAATGAAACAGAACAAACACAAAACCAAAAAGAGCCATTGCTCCTTCCTTTCAGCAGTTAGGAAGAGGATTGTATGAGCCTGAAGATTAAAAAGCATTGGGCTGCTCAGTCTCTGGGAGGGAACAAGAATGGCCACTCTAACTCCTAGTGTGACTTCAGCTAGGATGTCTAAGGGTATGGTATTGTGGGTTTTGTTGTTATATTTTTAAATGACAGGAACAAAGGACTGTAGTGCTCTCTGCTGCTCCTGCTTCCTTATGTGTGGATTATCCCGTTCTTCAGTGATCTGTGTGGGGTGTCCTGTAATGGGCAGCCAATTTTGTAGACAGAAATTTATAACCTTAGAAACATACAACCTAATGATGGAGGCAGGAGATATATATAGATATAGATATAGATATGCAGTTCTACCAAATAAAGTATAAGGAAGAAATGAAGGATTCTCATTAACATATTTTGTGTAAAATGAGATATCTACCACGGTAGAAAATAACATTGATTCTTATGGAAAATTACAGTTTTTTTTTTCCTATTTTTACCCTTTATTGGGAATACAGGGTAACATAGTTTCAAATCATTAAATGAACAAATATGGTTACAAGTATTGATAGCAAGCATGACCTGAACTTATGGGAGTAAGTGGTTTTCCAGTTCAAGTGTAGGAGATAACAGGTGCAAAATCTCCAGAGAAGAAGAAAACTACATTACTCAGCCACTAAAGGGTTTTTGACTGCAACTCATTAATGGCTGGAAGGAGTGCCGGTCCAGGTCAACCATCCATGATCTTCATCATAGCAAATGAAAATCTCCTATTTCTCAAATTAATTGTAGGTAGAAGATAGAATAACTCCATGCTCACTTATAAATTAACCTGGATGATTACTAAAGTGTTCTCCATTCATGAGTTGGCAAAATCTTCAAAGTGACTGTTGGAGCAAGGAGCCTTTCATGTGCTCCCAGTTGTTATACAGTGCATAAAGGCTGGTAAGTGTTAGTCCTGCTAGACCACCTCGTGCTACTCCTTGAAGACCACCTGTAGATTTATACAACATGCCTGTCATGGTTCCAGCTGCTACTGTGTTGAGGTCATCTTCTGCACCTCTTGTTTTCTCAATGATGACACCAAATGCACTATACAGCAAAGCCAGAGAACCTAGAGTATTAGCTCAAAGTGCCCCTTGCCTAGTCACCATATTCAAAATCTGTACGTTTCTTGGCTTGGACCAGGCCATGTTCTGGGTTTCCTTCAATCCTAGTCGGAGACCATTGATTGCCCCACATGCAGCCCCTGTCATACAACATCCTCCAATGTTGAAGAAGGCCAGTTCAAATCTTCCCCGGGTTTTATTAGCTCCAGTTGGTAAAATAAACTCATCAGTATCCTGCACAAGATATCGTGGATCCACATTTAAATAAGGAGACAGAGGGTTCATACCAGTTAGCGGGACGCCGGCCAAATCCGCGTGCGAGTAACCTGCTCTGCCGGCTCCGAAAAAGCCGGCCAAGCACCCAGTGGTTTTGTTGCCGCTGCCGGCGCCTCCCTCCATACTGTTGCAGCAAAATGCCGGTGTGCTCCTCACTGAAGCGTCAGGCCGTGGCTGCCTGCTCGGCCGTTAGGCCTCAGTAGCAACGGGGTCACCCGCGTTACCACCGCCTCCTTCACCTGGAAAATTACAGTTTTAACAATTGTCAGTAATATCTATTAATTAAAGAAAATCAGAGATACAGATAAATAAAAAACAGTAAATACCACCCAAATTGTATCACACAAAAATATTTTTTTTAACATTTTGGTATTATACATATATATCCTTCTTTATAAACACGGCATAACATTCTTTTTTTTTTTTTTAAAGATTTATTTATTTATTTATACAAGCACTGGGTACAGTCAGAAGCGCGGGAGGGTGAGAGAATTCACCAGAGCCAGAGCGGGGAGCAGAGCAGGCAGAAGGACCGAAGTACACTGCTGAGGGGAGCAGCGGGCGGCAGGAGAGGTCTGCGTGCCAAGTGGGACCCTCCTCCGGTGGCCGGGGAGCAGCCGGGGATCGAACAGGCGCTGCAGAGGCCGCAGGAAGCTTCGCAGCCCAGCGCTCAACCGCTGCGCCACCAGGGGAGGCCCTACATATTCTTTTTATCTCAACTGAACAATATATCATGAACATCTTTTTTAGTTACTAAATATATTTTAGTATTATAATGGTTAGCTAGATTACTATAAAGCCCATCCACTTGGTATATTTTTACAAATTTAAATCTTAAGACAACTTTTCAATGAGGAATTAATGAGTCAAATAGGAAACCATTCTAATATTCGTGATATATGTTGCCTACTAGTTATGGCAAACATTTCCCCCTGTCCACGGTGTCTAACCGTTGCCCTCCATCCTCCTGCTGATCAGGTCAATTAAATCTGCCAATATTGCGACTTATTAGCTTTCGCTGATGTGAGGAGTAAAGTGGCAGGGCAGCAGCTGTTGTTTCATGTATAAAGGACTCTCTGGTGGAAGTGTTAACTCTCTGGGAATCAGGACCTCTAGATTAGAGTCTCAGGCTATAGGGTACAAATTTCCCAACTAGATCGCTGAAAAAGATGTACATTCCTTCCAATGCTTGTATCGTGGACCCTTGTATTGAACCTAACAGGCATCATGCATCTGACTTACCACAGTTGTTGATTTAAGGTATATACCATATTCCAAAGGGGGCACCCCCTTCTTACCCAATAATGTCTCTTAAGCAAGTGCCTTGGTTTAGCTTTCGAAATATCCATGTATTTCCATAAGGCTTGAAACTTCTGGGTGGTGCTGGATGTATTACTATCAGTATCAGGAACTCAGCTGCATTGGGAAAGAGCTAAGTTGTTAAGTGTCAGAACAGCTAATTAAAGCAACAAGCCACAAATTAAAGTAGTAAGCCTTTAATTATTGTGATGGTACAAGAATGAAGTTAGTCTCTCTTTCCAGCTTCTGACTAATCAGCCAAGACATTTACTGATGCCCACAAATGTATGTAGTCTTACCTTGGGCCTCAGTCTTTCCATACAAAATAGATATCCAGAGGCAGTGATAGGATTTCAAGTCTCAAGCCCACCCTTGAGTGTAGTAGCCATGTGCCAAGTTGGCCCAACCATGAACCAAACATGTTTTCTTATTATTAGCTTGTCTTTTTTTTTTTAGGATTTTTTTTTTCCTTTTGTGTGTGTTTGCACAAGAACTGAGGTGTAGGCCAGAGGTACAGGGGGTGAGAGGATTCACCAGAGACAGAGTGGGGAGCAGAACAGGCAGATCTACTGAAATACACTGCTGAGGGGAGCAATAGGAGAGGCAGGAGCAATCTGCTGCACCATACCTGGGTTGGCTTCCTGGCAGGTTATAGTGCCAGCATGGCACAGTGCAGGATCTCTATGGTCCGGGCAGATGGGTAAAGGAGAGTCCTGGAGCTCTCAGTGGTTTTTCAGGGTTTCAATGGGTTTATCGGGTACACAGCAGGCAGAGGTGTTGGGGATGGCTGGGAGGTCTGCCAGTCTCCCAGCCCCTGGCGAGTCCTCACGCATTCTGGGCATTCTGGCATTCTCTCGTGGTCTCTGCTTCTCTGCTGGTTCTTCTCGTAGTTCAGTTCTCTCTGACTCTGCTGGCGTCCCCATGAGGTCACCCTTGTAAGCCCTGGTGTACCCACCTACGCATGCCCACACCCCACTCCATTTGTCCACCATCAGGTATGCATTTAATCAAATGGCAGGAGAGCGGAAAAGCCTGATACTTTTTTACCTTACCCCACACCCCCCTACCCATATACATAGCCTTAAGTTTGAGCTGAGGTGAAACAATGAAGCAACAGTGGTGACAAAAGTCTCTGGAAGTCCTAATTATCCAGCTTACTGGACCTTTTCTTATTTGTTCCATTTCAGATGCATCAGCCACTATCTTACAGTGGACTTGGTGGGTCTCGGTAGAATCCCTTTGACCACATGATGTTCTTTAGTTAGGTGATCCCTTTCTACAAGGGCCCTATTGTCATGCCAAGGCTGATTTTGAATGGTGGATAGTTTTCTGTTGCAGGTGGCATAAGCTACGTGGTCTATATTGTGATTCTATTAGGTCCTCTTAGAACTCTACATGGCACATTTTCCCACCATAGATACTATTAGTATCATCGGTTCTGCTGCTTGAACCGCAGCCTGGGCTGTTCCTGTCCAGGCATGCAGGCTGTTCCTGTCCAGGCATCACTCAAACTTGACAGCATTTCATGTAAATGGGTCAGAACCCTGTTCTGTTCAAGAGTTCTATGTATTTGAGACTTACACTTTCTGAATGTCTTATAAAAAGTGAGGCAACTGTAAAAATGCTAGGGAGGAAATCTCTCTCTAATCCACAATCGTAAAACCAGCATGGTATACTCTGAAGTACCGCTGTAGAAACTGTCAGGGCAAAGGTAAGGAATTCCAGAGAACATTTCTTCATTTAGGATATTCTTTTATGACAGTTTTCTTTGAAAACATGGTGTTTTATTTTTCTATCACCTTAAAATAAAAAGAAATTTTAGAATTACCATTTTAATGCTTCTCACAAGTAGATAATTCAATTAGGTCTGGTTCTGAAGGAACATTAAGTTGAATGTGAAGGCTATGATTAATAACCAGTCAGAGCCACCGTAAAGCAGTGTGTGTATGCTAATAGTTTTCTTGCAAACTAGAAATACTAGCTATCACAAATTGGATCCAGTGACGGTCCAAATGCAGGAGTCTGTTAGGGCATAAAGCATGTTCTGAGTTACTCTATTTAGGAAAGCAAACATTAACTAATCTCATTTAATTCCTGAAACTAGCTTCTGTTCAGAAATTCCTTACTATGAACTGCTGCATGATCAACTCCTCTTTGTTAGAACACCTTTAAAGAATTCATCCAAAGAGATGTCTCACCACAGGTAGAGTAGTTAATGTGAAATTTCTGTAATAGGTTTTACTAAATTAGGAAGTGAATATTTTGAAGCTCAACAAGAATATCATAGTATCACTATATCCTTCTACACCTTTTTTGAATGCATATACATATTTGTATGTGTACATACAATTTTCCATAAACATGACATGGTATCCAGATTTGGGTCCTGGTGGGAAACATGTGGCACTCTCAGGAAGAGTATGGTTGAAGACACTTATGAAGTGGACATAATCAAAAGTTTAGGACTCTTTAATGGAAACTAGAAAGGAATGGTGAAGTATCCTAGAACTAGCAATTACAGTAAGTCATTACCACCTTCCACCCTAAAGGGGCAGAGAGGGGCATGGGAATTTGTGTCTGTAGAGATGGAACTGTGACCTTCCGATCAGTGGAAGCTATGGTCTGGAGAGGTGAGGTGTCATGGCCAAAATGTGACCAAGCAGTGAAGAAAAACACATTCTACCCTTCATTTCTCCCTTCATCTGATCTCCTATTTGTACCTTCTAATTTCCAAACCTAGCTAGAAGTCATTGGGAAGGGTACCTGGCCCACAGAAGGTTGGCCTTCTAGGGCACACAGCAGAGTGGAAAAGGGCAGTGAGTAGGAAGGTCTAGTGGGCAAACAGAGAAAGTTCAGGTCACATGAAGAATTTTAAATGTCAATAGTCTACATACATATATATAGTCTTTGCTTTGCATGGTTCTGATATATGCAATTTTTGTTACTACCATTTTGTTATATTATACCCATCCCCAATATGGTTCAAATTTCAGTTACCATGGTATAGTCATTGAGTAATTCCATAAAATACAAATATCACTGCTAGCTTTTCAGTTCGCAGATCACTCTGTAAAATAATATATTCATCATGATACTAATCATGTCACTTCTTTCAGAGGTCTGTTGATGAATGGTCACTGCACAGGTCATTCAGTTTATACATAAAGAGCAAAACAAGATGCTGTGTTGCCTTGTCTCCTACTAATGAACCCAAGTGACTTTTTACAAAAATAGGTAACTGAAATAGGGGCTGCCAGCAAGGATGAAAATGCAGCAAAGAAACAAAAAGTGCTAACTTTGTAAGTAAAATTTGAATAGAAAGTTATAGAATAATTGCCCATGGGAGAGCTTGCCTTGCCACTTTTTGTGTAATTCCAGATAAACTGCCTGAGGAAATTTGTGAAGATGAACTTATTGACTTAAACAAGAAAGTGGCAGTGATGGAAAGAATGAAGATGATCTCAGAGGAAGTGACAATAGGAAAAACTTCACATTAAAAGAAATCTCAGAGATATTTTATGACATTTGAAGTATTGAGGATGAAGTGCTGGAAGCTGATCTGAACCTAGGAAGGAGTATGTCAGTTCACCAAAGCATGGGAGTGGTGGTCACTTCATACTAAAAGTTATATAAGAAGGGAAGCATAGTTCAAATTATTCTTGATACTTTTTTTTAACAAAGGATAAAACACTAATAAAACACTAATTCTCAATGTTTCTAATGTTTAAAATTACGTACTAAATAAATGCTATTTTACTATTTCTAATTACCCTGTACACTTATAACTAACACTACGAAATTTTTAAATTTGACAAATTTTAAAGGTCATGGGACAATCA